GCTACAGGCATCCCTTGGAGACACCAGCTGCTCCTGGCAAGCCCTCAAGTGGGACACCAGTGATCAGGGACCTGCCTCTGCCCCGTCTAGCCGAGGGCGCGGAGGTCATGCCTCCAGCATTCAAGTGCCAATTGACCAGGGGCGCGTGGTTGGACGAGGTTTAAGGGCAAACAGCTCACAGCTCGCCAGGGATACACCGCACGTGATGGACCAAGAGCTACTGACGAGGCTGGAAAAGGGGCTCGCCCTGTGCTGGGGCACCAGCATCATGGGTCATCTCCACAGCTGACAGTCTCTCAGGGCTTACTTGTTCCTTCTGGAAGACATGGATCTGTAAGTAGCATGCTGGGACTAATCGGGGACTTTCTCAAGCATCAGCAAACAGAAGCAGAAGAGCTGGCTGACACACAGAAACCATTATAGAAGGCCAGCATAGGGTGGTATCCCCCACGCCTGGGACAACCCTCTCTTCTCCCCTTACCAGGAAAAGCAGTTAAATGTAGCATAGCTGTGTCCCAAAGAGGGCTCCAGTGCAAGTCACACACATCCTCAGCCACCAGAGGTGGACAAAGAGCAGCCTGGGTTCCTTCACGTTGGGCCAGGGTGGGATTTGACATTGCTCCCCTTCAGCATCTGCCTGGAGAGGAGGAGCAGGAGGGAGGGCAGGGCACACCGTTCCCGTCATTGTTCTCCACAGGCGACAGACGAAGGCTCAGACAACACCCTCAGACTGGCCCTTGTGAGGCCTTTGGGAGGCAAGGGACAAGCCCCAGGCAAGATGCATAAGCCACGGGCATATTACATACAGATTGTGTTTGCAAAATTACACAAAGCGAGGCTGGAGGGGGCACATCCTGGCCCATGGCTACCCCCTGCACAGGGTGGCTCTTGTGGAGAGCTAAGCCAGCACACACGGACACATCCTTTCATGACTGTTCTTGAGCTGTGGGACTAAACATCCTATGCGAGAGAGCCTGGTAGGGACAGAGACAACGCGGCTGGGGTCTTCCCCACCCAGCGCAGCCGTGTGCCACCAGACAGCCCCGTCACAACAGCGGGGGCACCCTGACCTGCTGCAGGAGGCAAAACATGGCAGCTGTAAGGGCTGTGTGGTGACGGGCCAGGAGCTTGGCCCCCAGATCTGGGCAGCCCTGTCTGCACAGCTGCTGGTGAACAGCCTGCACAAGCTGGTGGTAGGTGCCCACCACGTCCGCAAGCGCAGCCCCGAGCTCCTGCTGCCTCTGCCTGCACATCTGACAGTGCGTCACCTGGAAGCAGGCCACTGCCAGCTGGACTAGGTGGTCAAATGTCACCCTCAGTGCACCCTGCAGCTCTCTGAGGGGCTGCTCTGTTTTTAGGAGCTCCTGGCAGCTAGAGAGCAGATCCCGTGAGACTGAGACAAGGACACCCTTTCTCTCGGCACCCTGCTCTGCACATTGATCTTGCAGGTGGGTTGCCTGGTTCTCGGAGAGCTTCCCCACAACCTCCTGAAGCTCTGTGGTGTAGGCTAGAAAGCGAGAGAAATCTGCAGGGCTCATCCATGCCTGGTCCTTCAGCTGGCTAAGGGCTTGGACATGAGGGTCCCACCATGCTGTGTCCCTAGCCATGGAGACTGGGTAGCTGCTCACAGGGGTCCCAGGAAGACTACGGCTACTGGATGGCGGGGTGGTGAGGGGCCCCAGAAATGTGCTGCACGTGGGGATGGTGGTTTCATGCTCCCCCTTGTCATCAGGCCTGTGGAAGCAGCTGATGTAGGACAGCTGGCAGCTGCACTTATCCATCCCAAGCTGTGGTGGAGGTATCTTCTCCATTCTGGAAAAACTCAAAGACCTGGTCACGATGGGGTTAGAAGGTGTCTGCTCATCCTTCTTGCAGTTAAAGCAGAGGAATGAGTGTTTTGAAGCCCTGTGATCTCCTGCTCTTTTCCCCAAGGAGCCCAAGGGAATTGGGCCTGAGGAGATAGAAAGTCCTGGCGATGGACTCAGAGGAGAGTCTTTCCCCACCTCATCAGCCTGTTCTCTAGGAAGAGGAGTCTGAACTGGCCACAGATGTTTGTGAGCCACATTTTCTGTGTCTTTTCTGGGCTCTCCTTCATCCTGTCTGCTTACCAACTCTTTCTCCAAGGGTGGTCCAGCTGGAGATGTTGGCTTCTCCCTTCTGACAGCATCAGCGCCCAGGCACTCACTGGTCTTCTGAGAGGCCAAAAGCTCTAGTGGGGTGTCTGCTCTTTCCTGAGATAGGCTAGGTGATGAGAGGTCTGTCCTAACCCCAAACGAGAGCCAGGAGAGGCGAGTTATAACCCCTGAAGTGCTGCTGCAATCTGTTAAGAGCTGAGCTGCATCTGGAAAACCCACATGGATTTTATTGTGCACTTTCCGTAAGGCCTCCTTGTTGATCCTGTGTCTGTTCTTTGCCTGTGACAAGGCACTGTCACTGTTTTTGGCAGAGCCATCGTGATGAGCTTTCCTTCCTTCACAGGGCGCTGGGACAGGCTCCTCGGACGTGGCTTGCCTCCCAGCAGTGGGGAGCAGTTCCTGGTCCTGGCCCACCTCCTGGGGAGAGGCCACCCCGGGGCCATGAGCTGGTGGTGGCAGCATGTGTTCGTTAATGGGGCAGGTCACTTCTTGGCCCAGGAATGGGGGCACTTCACCTGCCTTCTGCTGGGCTGCCATCCCCTCACCTGCCTCCTCCCGTCCCACTGGGGCCAGCCCGCTGTGAGGGGCCACACCGCTCTCCTCACCTGGCCACCTTGTATTTGTCTTCATGGAGGAGCTTTCCTGGGCAGCTCTGCTTTGTCCCCCAGGAAGGGGCACAGCTTCCTCCAGGGGTGGGAAAGGTGGATGTTCAGCACATGCAGGTTGGAGGCTGCCATACATGCATACAGCAGCGTCCGTGCTCTCCTCCCTGTGCTGGTCACCCTGCAGGCGAACAGCCGAAATGGAGGAAACCAGCAGCTCAGTCACGGATTTTGTTTCCATGGTGTCAGGCTCCATTTCCATCAGGTCAGAGGACGGGTTTGTGCTGGGAGTGCCTCTCTGGGCCGGGGTGACAGCAGGCAGTCCCAGCTCTGTGTCCTTCTCCATGTCCTCCGAGGAGGGAGCAGGGGGCTGTGGAAGGAGTGGAGGGTGCGGGGGCCAAGAGCCGGAGCTCCACAGAGATCCCGGCAAAGCCAAGGGGAAAGTGACCTGTGAGGTGTAGTCGGTGTTAAGGAAAGATCTCCTCTTCCTCAGGCTCTTGGTGTACGTCAGCTCCTTCTCCTTCCTGTGCTTGTCCCTTGCTGTCTGCCTTGCCATTGGGTTTTCCCCCAAGCTGTAACACCTTGGTTTCTGGAGGATGCAGGAGGAGTTTTCTGTCCCCTCCCAGGATGTCACACTGTAGCCTGCTGGCAGGAAAAGAACAACCAAGTCAGGAAATAGCCCCAGGCACAGAATGTCCATGCATCTTTGCAGTGAGCCAAAAAGCTCCTAACACCGGTCCTGCAATCCCAGACATAAATGTTCATCAGCAAAGCCTGGCTCCCAAGTGCTAAAGGAAACTGTCTCTTATGTTATGATCCAGCACCTACTTGGAATAAGCTGTAAGGAAAAATAAAGAGTCTGGGCCTGTGGCTACAAAGACTGAATTCCAGGATTAGTGATGAGGGGCTCTGGATAGTCCCTCCCCTTGTTTACTGGAGTAACCTGCTCTGGCTGCAGGTACAGCTGTAATTTTAAGTTAAATTTGGTGATCCTAGCAGCAGCTACAGAGAGCACTGCCTACAGCTGTAGATTTATTAACATTGAACAGAAACATTAATCGAAATTCCCAACCTGGATATTTAGATGATAAAAATTTCCAGAGATTACAAATTTGTGCCTGAACACAGTACTGTTACCATGAAAAAAATTGTTTTAACTACACAAAACAAATTCTTAAGAAGTTCAGTTATTGTTGAAAAAGATTATTAATTCAGAAACAAGAATCCTCTCCCTTCTGAGAAAATACAGCTACCAGGGAGCTGCTCAGCCACAGGACTCCTTGACCCAGTTACATAGCATGCCCCTGGCCCAAAAATTGGTTTTGATCTTGGGAGTGCACAGAACAATAATGTTTTACAGCTTTTAGCTCTCCTCAGCTTGAAGGAGGATAGCAGAGCAAAGGTACTGCCCAATAATGGGAATATTTGTGATAAAGTTCCTTGTCTGTGCAAAGAGACATACCTTTCCTGCGTTCTGTTTCTAGGACTCCTCACTCTTTTCAGCGCTGAAGATTCAGCCTACACAGAAGGATGCACAGAACTACAGCATGGTGGCTTCAGGATCAGGCAGAGCCATACATCAGTATTCTGGAATTCCTGCAGAAACCTGTGAACTTCCCAGAATGCCAATCTAATTTGAAAACTTACTTTTTCTGGGATACAATGCTTGCACACGATGACAGGTCTCCATGCAAAGCTGCAGCTCTGATCCCTGTGTGCGCACCCACTGTATTTCTGCTGAAGAGTGGCTTACAAGAAATGGATGTTCAAAGATCCTTCAAAAATCTTGGGAAAACTACAATGAGCGGAAAGATGATCCCTCCAGGAATACTGACATGGGAAACAAGCAACACGCTAGCCCTTGGGGTGGAAGGAAGGTGACATGCAGCAAGTGGGCGAGGGTTTACCTGCCAGGGCATCTGGAGGGCTGAGCCTGTCTGCAGCATCATAGAACTCCTCCTCAGAGCTCGTGTCACCAAAGCCTGGGGGCGGCTCCAGAATGGGGTCACTCGCCTCTGCCGTCCACTCTGCTCTGCATGGTGCCTCTTGCTGGGCAGACCTATCTTTGCAAGGGCTTCTTTGTGGGCTGCAAGTGGTGTTGCTCCTCTCCACTCTGCCTGCAGGGGATATGCTGCAGCACAGGCTGTAATAGCCCATGGCATTTCCCTCAGACAGCCTGGTGTCCACCACAGTGTCCTCCCCTCTCTGCTCACAGGGGCTGTCTTCACACCCTGGCTCCTCTGCATGTCGTACTTGCAAGAAGCCGAAGTAGTCTCTGGTTTCTGCCCGGCTGGAACCTCCCACAGCATGAATGGGGAAGAAGCTCTTCTCTGAGCTGCTCATCTCCTGCACTGTTGGTGTGTAGAAGTGTAAGAACTCCGGCCTGGAGGAAGAGCATGCTTCCAACCCATCTTCCTCCAGCGCATCCACAGAGTCACTGGAGCCACTTGTCTTAAACCCTCGGCTCTCGATGTTGGCTGAATCCGAAGCCTCGGATGCGCTGTCTGTTGCATTGTCACCCCTGTTGTGTTGGTCACTCCCTCTGGCGTGGGGCTTTGCACTGTCCTTCTGTGGGCCGTGGACCTCACCCACCTCCTCTGCACTACACACAGGATGGGCGCCGCTGTCTGCCCCAGGAGCATCTGAGCACTGCTCTGAGGAGGAATCCCAGGAGTCTTCAGAGTCACTGCAGGTTCGAGATTCATACCCTAGGATTTAAACACATCGATCAGCCTGTCCTTTGTGGTGGCAAGGAGGAACAGCCACACACGGGCTATTAACTCGTCTGCACAGGAGGGACTCAGAGCCCAGACACCTCTGCCCTCACTCATCAGAAAACATGACAACACAATGTGACCTGCAAGGCCACAACCTGTCTGTGAAGGCTTGGTCCCTCCTGCCCACTTGTGCTGGTGTTACTGCAGAGCAGTACTGGAGGGAGCTGCAGAACAGCAGCTGGCTAACTCACTGCCTACAGCTCCAGCGTGGAGCCCCTGTGAGCCCGGTATTATCCTGATGAGGGACAGGATGACATGGCAAACAGAGCCTCTCTCTCCTGGCCGAGGGATGCCAGCAGAGGGGAGGTCGTTCGGGAGGCTGGTAAAAGAGCCCAAGCTCTCAGTGACAGGTTTGCCATTTTGACAACAAGCACTTATAGCCTTCACCTCGGAATAGCTGACAATTACTGCTGGTCTTCCCCCACCTGACACATCTGGGGTTGATGGAAACCTGGCACTGCCTGCACCAAGGCCGACAGTCTTAATAATTTCCATATGCCACTGCACACACCTGGGCTACTGTTCTAGCATGATGCTATTCCCAGGGGGAGCAACACCTCTAATGCTGGAGGATCCACCCACTTTGTCCCCATCCTTTGGCAAAAAAAAATGGCTGGCTTTTTTTTTAAACCTTCTTCAGCTGAGACACGGTGTGGTTGCTGTTTTTTCTCTCCCCAGGTAAATATGGAGACATTTGCATCCACGAACAGTCTGTAATAGCCAGTGATGAGGCAGACAAGATCCTTTGCGCTGTTTGATTCAAGCAGCAGAGTCAGCAGCTTTTTTTGGGAGGGGCAAGTGGGGGAGAAAACAGTGAAAAATGTTAGAACAGACAAATACTGCTTTTACCATGACCTCCAGGAACACACTTGCACACTGAAAAGACATTCCCTCTCTCCCATGCTGCCGGCATTGCAGAGCAATTTATTTCTGCATGAGGCACAGAGAAAGAAGAGAAATGGGTTTTTTTCCTTGCATTTTGTTTCTTTTATATGTCTCACTGATGGAGGACAGCAGGAAGAATCACTTTCTTCAGTCATTTCGTATTCTTCCTACGAGCTTTCCCTTCTGAGTCTGTTCTAAGCCTTTTGCACTGGTGACACCATCAGCTAAATGTCAGATTTCAAAAAGAATAGATGGTGTGAATGACTACCCCTTTGTTCTCTAGCCTGGACACAGCCACACACTGGCCATCATGAAAGCACTACTTACCTTCAGATCCTGCAGGTAGATTTTCACCATGCTCACTTTTTCAGACTCCTCTTCAAGCTCCACCCTGCTGATGTTTGCAAACTCTGCCAGGCTTGTTATGATGTTGAGCTTATTATTGATAATCTGGCTCACCCCGTACTTGGCACCCACCAGCAAGGCAACGTACGATTCTCTGTCCTGTAGCTGCAGGGGAGAGGTTAAATCTGTAGCCAAAATCTGAGCAGGAACCCATTCACCTGTGCTGGGCAGGGACTCCTGAGCCGTGCGATCTTGTGTGGTACCTTTTAACACTGGACTCTCTTTACAACTGGGCGAAGAGAGCCCCTCACTACTTACAGGCTGTCAGGTCACCTGCTCCTGGCCATTCTCTTCTCTGGCTTGGGGACCACCAGTTTCCCTGTGCCCCTGAGGCAGGTGGCCTCAGAAATGCACGAGCCATCCAGCAGATCCAAAGAGCTGGTCAGCAGCAGGTTGCTATTGGAGTGTCACCTGGCAGGCTGTGCCAGATGGACCTAGCGAGACCTACTGCAGCTGTCTGGAAACTTCAGGAAGGCATTTTTGGTTTTGGAAGAGATGTCAACACTTTCTGTTAGGATCAGATACTTAAAAAAAATTAATTAATGTCCACATGATTTGACAGAAATATTTCAATTTGCACACAAGCGTAAACCTAGGCATTACTGCAACCCATTAGTAAGGTCCTTCTCCGGTACAGCCCTACCTACACGGCTCATCTTTCTGTACAAAGCAACTTGTAATCAGCAGTTCAGTACAGATCCAAGGGGGGACAGGCAAAAAAAAAAAAACAAAAACAAAAACCCACAACTAAGAAACCTCTTGTGAAAAAAGCAGCATTCTTTTTTACAGTAAGTTTTAAGTGTGGCAAATATATTTTCAAGAGGTTTTGAAACCTCCCGAGATCTCTTACATACTTTGTGACATTCAGAATATAGACAGAGCTTATCTGAAGAGCAAGAGTCACAACTTTCAATTAGAAAAAATATGCATCATGATTGTGTAGGGCGCTATGTTATTCACTAGAATGGAACTATGCAGAGTTACCCTAGCAGAGTCCCCTTCCAATATTTATCATGATGTCCTAGGACAAGGAAAAGTGGTGTGACTGGAGCCAGCTAAAACAGCATCACCAGAGCTAATGTTGCATTTTCTATGAGCATCAAAGCAAAGACAGGGGAGCAGACTCAGTAAGAGGTTGTTAGTATCACGTCAACAATCCATTTAGAAACATATTTAAACATTTCTACATTCTACAAACCCTATTGGGTTTGATTTGCTTAAGACATGATCCCATGACATACCCACTGGTGAAGAAAAAGGATTAAAACTGCTTCTTGTGCTCTGTCTTTAAAGTTATTGACCAGATACACTGCCATAAGAGATGCACAAAGCAAGGCAATAAGACAGTATGCCAAAACCCAATGACATGAAAAAACAGCACTCATACCATCAGGGTGGCATTGAAGATCCTCCCATTGTACATCTTTAGGTCTCCCAGTATCTGCAGGTAGCTCAGGCGCACTTGGACTGCTGCAAGCATATGCTTTTTTTTGCAAAAGAAGAAATACTGTTTAGAAACAGGATACACATATGGTTTGCCAGGTAGCCTGTGGGCTAAAAGATGTTCTTTTCATACAGGACTTAGTACTTGACCAACACGTGGTCTGGATAGGCAATAGATCTGTACAGGACCGTCCCACATTGCCACGTTTGCCATCTGGCAGCCCCGCAAGCAAACTGCGACAGAACACGCTGTGCAGGGGAATTAGAGTGCATGTGCAGCAGCGGAAGTTACAGGAGGAAAAGACAGAAGAAAAGCTACAAGCGGTCCCACAAAGAGGAGACTCACAGAGGAAAGATATTGCCTCTTTGGCCCCGAGAGATGCTGCTGCCATCCTCAGAGGCACCTTGAACCTGGGGATGCACACTACCTTCTGCCGAGGGTCCAGCAGCACCTGGTTCCGCTTCATGTGGTAGCTGATGGCTTTCTTGATGTCCTTCCCTCTCATGTTTCGAAGCAAGGTTGGCGAGATGAAGTTTTCGATTCCCCAGTCCCTCCTGCCAGAAAGACAGGAAGAGAACAAAGCAGGTCCCAACTATGCTGTCCCCCAGCAACACTGGAATGTGCAGAAGGGCAGCTGGCCAGGGGCAGAGAAGGGCAAAGGCACCACACCAGTCCAGGACGCTCTGAGCCTCAGGGTGCTCTAGCATGTCCTGACAACTCATGCAACGTGACTGCCCCACTCAAGTTCACCTCTATGTGCCTCTGCTGCTGGGTCACGAGATGGGAGTTGGAGGAATACATGCTTTCATGCAGAATGCCTGTTTCCACATGGTTACAGAGGAGACAATCTACAAGTCTAGTCAGCACAATGGTCCCAATCTGTTCTTGCCACCCAGAGGATGAAGATTCTGTCTTTACATTCACTTTACTTTGGTTACAAGATCATTACAGCTTAACATCTCCAGTTCCCTAGACCAAAAAATGTGGGCCATCTGTTCTGCTGAAGAGTTTATTAAATATCCAGGAACTAAGAATGCTGCAGTTGTCTGTAGTCACTTCTCACTCTCCACTAACTGCACATGGCTGGGTACGTCTGTCTCTGTGCAAGGCGTCAGTAGTGCTTGCGTGGACATTGAGGGAGGCTCAGGGGTGCAGTTACCACACAGATGTCTGTTATTCAATGACTGGCTTACCACAAGCTCTTAAAGCAGGGTTGTTCTTTAGGGCAAGCATGGTCCAACAGCACTGACACACAGCACAGCACACCTGCTGCTTGTGAAAGCATTTTTCACAATTTTTTTCCAGATCCCATTACTTCACAGGACCTATCACTTATACTGAAATTAGATATTTTTGAGATAGTCCTGGTGGATGAAGAGATGTGAAGTACTGGCTGTGCAAAGTTGGTGATGATTCTCCCTCAACTACCGAGTGCACATCTTAGTATACTGGCAGGAGCAGCCTGGGTAACCATAACTATGTGAAAGAGTTGCAGTTTCATGTTTCTGCTCCAGCTACAGATCAGAACCTCCCTTTGCATAGGGACATACCCAGACATTACGCTGTCTGTATTATTCAACCAGCTCAGCTGGTTAAAGACAGGGAGGCTCATGAAGCCACCTTGCCCTAAAATGACTGGCACAACTAAGTGACTGCAGTGTCTTTGGGTCAGAGACAGTCTTCTATCCAGAGCTAAACACTGGGCAAACATAGAGCTGATGCCACTTTTAGTTGGCTCCTTCTTTTGCCAGGCTTAGTCACAAGATAACACAGAACTTTTGGAACTTACTCAATGTATTTCAAGGATACTTTCTGTGCCTGAGCACAAGCATAGATCCTCTCCTGTATGTGCAGAGCAGCCAGACGTAATGCCACACTGCATTTCATTTCCACAGCAAATCTTTCCTGAAGCACATCGCTGCAGCTCTGGAACAAACAGAGCTTAGTTAATATGATGATGGGAGCTCAGGAAGCCAGGTCTTATAAGACCTCTGATATGACTACCGTGCACCAAATAAAGGAAGCTACGCAGCTCATTTCAATCTCATTCTGTTAAAAAGCCAAGCATATAAATTGATTTAAGAATTTAGGGCAAATTTAATCCAAATGATCTGTTCTTAAGTGCTCTGCATTTCACATTCATATAACTGAACTGGCCTGAAGTACGCTTTGGTTTAAAGCAGAAATGAGAATTGTGTGAGAAAAGATCCTGAAGCATGGAATGCCTCAATTTCACCTGCAGGTAGAGATATTCAAAAGCAACTGGGTCTTCCTGCAGCAGGTCTAAGGGATCCTTTGGGACAAAGCAAACTCTGAAGAGGCACCGGTAATCGTGAGATTCTCTTTTTTGGACCACCTGCAACAGACAAACAGCATCATGCCACTACTGCTGTAGTCCTTCCCTTCATAAATGCATAGTATGAACTTGTTTGAACCCATTGAAAAAATTTAAAGCTACTGGCAAGGGGGATGGCTACAGATTAGCCATCCTCCTTAGCAAATATAAGGAGACATTGCTTGTGTCTGTAATTTATCTTTGATTCTTCTGTTTTTTTGCTTCTCCCTGTGGTTGCTTGGAAGTCCTTCGACAGCAAAACTTCATTAAATATGCACTGATCTCACATACTTGCAGTAGAGCCAGGACAGAGGCTTCAAGGCTACACAATAATGACAGAGGAAGAGGTAAACTTCTCTGCTTTTAAGTTCAGTCATGAGATACAGCAGCCCTAAACAGACACTGGGAAAATCATCATAATGTCAGTACAACGTTGACCCCTGGGTTATACATTAGCATGTGTTATTCTGGGCAAATCCCATACAGGCCCACCAATTGAGACAAAGCAGAAATTCTCAGGCACACATGCTCAGTGGTTGCACAGCGCTAGCTACCGAATGTCTCTCCATCACAGTGGATCACCAGCCAACAAAGAGATGAGACTCCCAGGCAGGGATGTTCTCAAAGATTAGATTAGCCCAGAATTACTCGCAGAGCAACAGAATTACTAACAGAGATAACCTCATGCTTGCAGGACACAAACTTCTGATTTAGAATTTAAACAAATTAATTTAACCTGGCTGGGTTAACTCTCTGACTGCCTAGGGAACTGTCCACAGCTGGGTATGCAGCTATTTTAAGACTGTCCTGAACAGTCCTCTGTAGATGAGCCTGTTCGACAGGTGCACAGAGCTCGCTCACCCCTGCTTTCTCTGCACAGCCCACGCAACACCAGCCTGTGGGCATTGCTCACTTGGCTCTCTAAATGGAGTCAGGCACTTCTGAGAGTGCCACGTCTCCAGGGACTCTGGTTAAAGCAGTGGTAGCACGTGCAACAGGCAGAGACAAGAGGACAGTGCTTCTGGAGATGGGGTTGAGCTCACTCCCTCGTGTGGCACCTGCAGAGCTGAGCTCTGTGCTGGCCACCACCCACGGGTGCTGGTGCCTTCTCCAGCGTGGCTGTGGGGTCGTGTGAGGGGCTCTCACCTGCTCGATGAGCTCCTCCTCATGCAGGAGGTGAATCTTGGCCACATTGTACTGCTCCTCCAGAGCCAGGGCAAAGTGTGCGATGCTCCGGATGGAGAGCTTCTCCTTCAGGGTGAGAACAATGTCCTGGAAAAGGAGGGAACATGGATGGTCAGACAGTAGCTAGGCACAGCTGCTGAGCGCTGCTATCACGCCATGTGAACGCGGACGACTCTAGCCTGCCGCTGGCAGCTGCAGGGGACAGCACTGCAAAGGCAGTGGCCAGATACAAAATTCTCTGCAGGTAAGAGCATGCTTGGTGCTGCAACACAGAGAGAAGTTTTCAGTGCCGTTTCACAGGAAACCAGTGCCTACCTGACATACTCTAAAAATAGACAAACCGCAGAGGTCTCAAGGTTAGTGGAAGCCTGCAAGTTCATCAGAAGTGGAGGTATGAGAGATGGCAACCTCTTTGGGATGCCAAACACAAGGCTGGCAGTTAGGTGCTGTGCTACCCCAGCACAGGACGTCTGAGTAGCAAAAGAACATGCCAGCCAGGTGGTCAGCCGGGTGGTGGTCAGAGCTGCCCATGACCACAGATGCCAGCCAGCTGGTGAGGCAGGCAGCCAATGGAACTGCAGGGGAAGCACAGACAAAGGGAGGACAACACGTACCAGGAGCACAAGGTGGTGAAAGTGCAGCATGCTGTGGTAAGAGTGCAGTAAGACTCAAGCCTCAAGGTGTAATAGGCATCAAATCCATTTCCTAGAGTTGCATGCCCTGGGCTGCTTTATGCTGAAAGTTTTGCCCTTACATTTTTTAGTTTGGTGGTTGGTGTTGAGCACTTTCTGTTGCACTTGATCCAAATGTTTGCCGTTAACCATTCTAGCTTTCTAGAACTATGACACTCTTTGAAGAAACTACAAAGAAATGGTGGAAAACACTGCTCCCCACCAATAAACAAGAATTTGAGAGCATAATTGTAAAAATCTTACAAAATTTGATTTAAACTGGTCTTCAGTTGTATGGAGAATTCTGTTGGAATACTAAATTTCATGGAAATAACTAGGTTTATTTTTGGCAAATAGAAAACATTATATGAGGCTTGACTGAGTACAAATTGAAAGACAACCCCTTTGACTTACTCAGGCCTCTTGATGTAAGTATAAATGTTTGATTCATCTCAGTTTTAAGCAAGGATCTCTCAAAGAGCAGAGGAACTTTTGAAAACACCTTACCTAGGAAGCATTTTACCCATTTGAGTGTTTCTGTGAGGACACTGCTGAGGGTTGCACTCAACTCCAGTAGAGAAAAATTCGTTCTAGGTCAGAGGTGAGCAAATCAGGTCAAACATGACAAGGTAATCTACCTTTTGTAAATTAATCCCTTGCAGGTGGGCATTCAAACCTCTTGTTACAACTCATCTCCCCTTTCCTTACCACCTCTTTGCTTTATTTCATTATTTTCTTTTTCTCTGCCCTGCAAGTCACGAGACTTGCAGAGACTTACTGCCATGAGAAACCGTAACAGTTTTGTGAAGTTTAGATGAACTAGACAATAAACTCCTTTTTGAGGAAAGTTTTCAGTGCACTACAAATAAAATCTCCTTGCTTTTCCCCTTAATATTCTTTCAGCCTGATAACTCCAGAATGTATGTCCATCGTGCATCTTTTCCACAGTAACTGCACTGCTGCAGGACATCACATATCCTTTAAATAAATTATGGCCTCCGACCACTGTGTACAGGCAGATCTTGTTAACTCCAACATAAACACTGAGTAAGTCTGAAGATCAGGCTAGAAAAACTTAAAGTTTGTAAGCCTATGTCTAAACACAGAAATCATGGAAAGTGCTACATTACTGGCTTTGGAGAGCAGCACCTCGTACTTTGAAGAGAATGATGGTAACTTGTCTGTAATGCCTCCATGCACAAGTGGTCTTAGGGATGTGGCACTGCTTTCCCATCTCAAGGAGTTTCCATCTCAGTTTTCATGTCTCCATGGGGAAACATTTTCACCAGTGCAGAAATGAGGCTGGAACACAGCCAGGAACTTTAAGTGAGAACCACACAACTGCACTTGCTGAGTTCACAGGATATACAAACCTGGACTCCACTCTCCAGGTCCCAGGCCAGGACACTTGTGCTCCATCTCGGGGATACACATTGTCACTGCTACATTAAACAAACACCTCTGTATTCTGCCATGTGGTTTACGAGGAAAGCAACGTTTGTGCAGACAGCTGCTGATTTGCTAGCCCCCCACCAACCTGTCCTCTTGCCCAACTTCAATCACACTTCACAAAGGTGTAGTGGTCTCATAACCAAGTTCCTGCAAATTCTGTAAAAATCAGTTGCTGAGAGGAAAACAGAGGTGAACCAAGCAATGCCTCCTCTGCAGGAAGGGCATGGAAAATCCAGCATGCTCAGCAGCAGCTGGCAATCCAGTTCCCACTAGCTGGCCAATACAACCAAGAGTTGCAAGTTCCACTGCATGCACGTTTGCTACTGGATTGAATTCAAGGGGTGGGGACAAAGACAACCAAGAATCGTTACCTTCACAGTAGTGCTTGTCTCAAACCTGAAAGCCTTCGTCTGTCCATTTTCCAAGTATACCTTGATAACGTTGGGCATACAAAGAAGAGAATTCCCCTGCAGAACAAAAGCAACAGCACTAATCCTTGGATGTTAAGCCTCTGGGCACCAGGGTGCTCTGCCTGACTCAGCACAGCTTGGTATAAATGAAGATCTTTCTCTGCTTTTGCAATCCTCCTATGTGGCACCAGGTTTCTTCACTGATTATGCTTCTGGCACAGAACAAGGGAAAGACCTTTACCATAAAACTCCAGCCAGTGCAACAGCTGCACATGGCTCAGCTTTACCTACTGTTCCGTTCCCTCATGGCACAGGAGGATCTGGCAGATACTGAAAAGCTGAGAGCCATCCTCCCCGCTCATTACCAGAAAAGCAGCGATGTCTGTCGGAAAAGACATCTTCCCATTACTGGGCACCAGGCAGCACTAAACCCCTGTTATGGTTTTTAACCTGGCTGCTGGCCAAACACCATGCAGCTGCTTGGTCACCCTCCCTGCTCCTGGGGATGGAGGAGAGAATTAAAGGGGTAGAGGGAAAAGAGACCCATGGGTTGAGAGAAGAACAACTTAATAATGAAAATACAATAAAATTGAAAATAATAATAACAGTAATATATACAAATATACAAATGAGTGACACACAGTGACACTGCTCACCACCCAATGACCAAGGGTCAGCCCGTTCCCAGCTAACAATCCCCGAGCAGGGAGAGTCCTGAAACCACAATCACAGAAAACAGATAACAGCCCAAGCATCCAAGAGACCGAGAGCTGACCAAGAGAGTGAGGCAAGCCCAAGAGATAGGAAAACAACCCAGAGAGAGAGAGAGTGGGGCGACCTAGAGCAAGAGAGAGCTCTTCTGGACAGAGCCTCCTCTATATCCTGGGCATGACATGCATGGGGTGGAATAGACCATTGGCCAGTTTGGTCTCAGTCCTAAACCTGAGGTCAAATCCTGGGCTACTAACTGGGGCTGTGCTCCCTCCCAGCTTCTCCTGCCCCCGCAGACACGGGCACAGCAGAGAAGGTGGAAAGTCCTTGACTGTCCTGGCAGCAGCTCTGACCATCAGTGTGTGATCAGCTTCTCCTCAGCACAAACCCAAACACAGCCTCTCACTAGCTGCTGTGAAAAGAGTTAACTCTGTCTCAGACGAAACCAGGATACCCCCACCACACTGACAGTTTCCCACTGGCAACAGTCATAATGTCAACTCAAGAGCTACCCAAACTTTTCATGCTACCATGAACAGATCTTGCACACTGCGGGAAGGCTGTAGGATTCAGCTAAACAAGCAGTGGCATTCCCCTAAGATTTGTGACTCTGGGGTTTCCCAAACAGGAGACGACGTCACCAGAGTTTCTGGAGATAGGTCTCAAATGCATTAGACAAGGCAATGACTCCCATAGCAAAAGCACCTCCACTGGGTGCTCCGAGAAGGGTCTGAGAACTTGGTCTCTGTCCTTTCAGGGCTGTCTAAAGCTGCACCTTTCCTTCCACCTTACTCCTTTAGCCAAGCTCATCTGCACCTTCTTTCTTGCTTTCAGCCTTATTCTCCTTGTTGCTCAGTGCTGAGAAGGTTTATTCCTCCACCCTTGAACTTCCCATTCAGCATATCTTTTTTACATTCTTGGACCAGCATGTTCCTCCAATTTAAAGAGTTTATCTACTTATCATGACAGTCTCATGGTTGAGAATGGCATTTCTAAGATGATCTCTCTGATGTCGCATTTGCTGTGCAACACCTTATAAATTTCACAACCTTGGTCCCTCTTAGAATGACCCGGGTTGGAAGGGACCTCA